CAGTAGCTCTCCTCTGGTTAAGTGGATGGAGAAGAATGGTCATCTCTGTTGTTGTGACCAGCCCTTCTCCCAGCTGAGGAATGCTCCAAGTGTTAGTCCCCAGTGTGCTCAGCTCTTGTCCACATCTTTCATATGAACGCACATATAATCTGTGGAATCTTTCTTGTGAACATGTTTCCCTCTGCTATGAGCTTCTCCAAGCAGGCAAGGAGCTCTAAGAGCGTGCAGAAGCACTCCATGGATGCCTAGAACCTTGCCACAGTCTTCCTCCTCTTTTGCAGTCACAGCACTTTCTCAGTCTCAGTTCCCTGAGCTCTCGGAGCCATGGAGTGCCAGTGGGGCCACTCTGCTCTGCTAGCCAGTCCTGTCTGCAAGGAAATTGAAGTGTTCCAAGAGCCACTGTCTGTATATGTTCCAGTCCGCTGGATCGAGTCCTGTCATCCCAACCAGATTTGATGTCAGTGGGAATGCAGGTTTTTCTTTCTGGATAGATCTCTCGTTCATGGGTGCACCAAGTACGCTAGCTTCACGATTGTGCTGGGCTCCTGGAAGAGTCCTGCAGGTGTCATTTCCCTTCCATAGAGGTAGCTCTCCGTCCTTTTCATTGTTTGGTGGGTGCAACTGGCTCAGTGGAGGCCTCTCCCTTGGTTTCTCCTGATTTGCTGTGGTTACCCTCGCTGACTGGGTGATGGGTGATCCCAGTAATTGCTGAGTCCTGCACAGGAATTGGGGCAGCTGCTACCTGCCTGTGTCTAAAAATAGCACCAGCCCTCCCACCGCTGGCTGCAGGTCTCTGTTGTAGTGGGAAAGAAGGAGGGAAGGAGAGAGACATGTCACTTTTTCCGCCCCACTGGGGTAACAATGTAGTGAACTCTAAAAGTTCACTAAACTCTCACTCCTGCTGTATCAGCAGCACTGTGGGCCCATGGAGTCCACTCTCACCTAGTTTGCTGGGGTGAGCACCTTCCTCCCTGGAGCCAAGCTGGGGAGTCTTTTGCTGCATGTCTACTCTTTCAGCATGAGTCTGAACCATTTCTACTGCTTCCTCAGGATCTCCCAATGCAGCTCCCCTGCAGCTTTACCCTGAGGGTTTACTTTCTCCCTTTTTTATAATATTAGTTCTACCTAACTTAAATCAGACCCTCCTGTCACTGTTCTGCCATCTTGGATCCCCCAGCAACCCACCCCCATCCCTCAGGCTGCCTTGTTTTGATCTAAAACAACTTGGAGCTATCTAATCCAGGTTGGGCTCAGCTGTTCACTGCTCTGCTCCACAAATCTCTTATTATCCTCATGGAACAAATGGACTCCCTCTGCCTGATTTTCTCATGGCAGTGCCAGGCAGGGGTGCAAGAGAATAACAAGAAACATTTAAAATTTCTTGCATATACATTCACTCTGCATCATTATTTTGAATATATTTAGTCATATACCAGAATATAATATCTAGAGGTAAGAAAGGGACCCTGCCTAGTGTATGTGTTATGGAGGGTAACTTGGAGTTTTTAGGGAGGAAGGTGAAGTGCTGTAAAATTACACAGCAGAGGATACGGTATTTGGAGGGATAAATGCTTGAGGCCATGAACTCCACCTACCTCAGCTGTTAAGAGCTACAGTGCAGTATTTCTATCTTACCATAGTGCAGCGAAAGAGACAGCCATGAGTTTAGCTTGGAGGATATGGAGAAACTTTCACTGAGAAGCTGACATTGACACTGGACCATAAGGATGACTCAGACTTTACCAAGTGGACAAGAATGGCTTACAGGAGAGATAATCAATTGAGATAGAAAGGGAAAAGTAAAGTTCTAGACATCTGTGAATATAAAGGGAAATTTAAAGATTGAGGAGTTGCCTTCAATGGCTTGAATCATTGGAAACAATCCTTTTACATTGTCTTTTCCCCTACAGCATTGCTCTTTCCCATGAACTATCAGAGCTTCCCAAAAGTACGAATTCCAGACCTTGTGCTAGTGGGAGTTCACCTATTGTATACCCTTCAGAGCATGCTATGTAGGTGGTTTCCTTCTCCATACACTGAAAACCTGATCTTACTTAAATAAGGTGAATAATGTAGCACATATTTACAACATTTCTCCTGGTGCTAGTACCCCTTCAGTATATCCAAGCCACTTAGCACATTTCAATGTCTTCTGCCATCCCTGTCACATCTGAAAAAGACATTAATGATATTTGTTGTCTTTAAAATACCTCTGAGAGGAAGATTGATTGAGGGTGGAAGATGAGATACCCAGCACTAAATGTAGTTACAGAGGGAGGAATAATAGATAGTGTTCTACAACACAGTAGGGTGAATATAGTTTATAATAATTCATCATATATTTTACAAAAAAAAGCTACAAGTAGTTCAAAGGTTTTGAACACAAATAAATGATAAATATTTATGCAGATGGAAATGCTAAATACCCTGATTTGATCATTATACAGTGTATGCATGTATCAAATTTTCACACTGTGCCCAATGGACACATACAATTAAAGAATAAATAGAATTTTTAAAATTTATGTATTTATTTTTATTCATTTCAAACAGTTGGTAAGCAAGTGAGAGTGACCGACAGAGGCCAAGATTCTCCATCCACTGGTTCACTCCCCAAATGCCTGCAACAGCCAGGCCAAAACCAGGAGGCCAGAATTCCCTCTGAGACCCCCACGGGAGCAGGAGGGACCCAACCTCCTGATCCATTATCCACTGCTTCTAGGGGTGCATTGGCAGGAATAGTAGAAGCAGAAGTGAAACTGGGCATCAACCCAGATACTCTAATGTGGGATCTGGGCATCCCAAGTTTTACCTGCTATACTATATGCCCACTCCATAAATAACTTTCTCTGCTACCTCCTCTCAGGAGTCCTCCAAGATACTTCCTCTACCCATCTCCCCCAAGATTATATCAGATTTTCTTGCTAATATTTCTCATTTCTTTCTCTATTTCCTTGAAAACATTTATGATAATTTATTATGGTTTTAGGTTTCATTAATTGATTCCTGTCTCTCCTTTTAAACTTTCAGTTCCTGTGAGACCTGAGAATCAGGCCTTTTGTATACCCATAGTCCCTAGATCCTAGCATACCACCAGGATCATAGTAGCTGAATATTGAATATTGAGTGAATGAATGAGTGAGTGAGTATCTGTAAATGATTGAATGAGATGCACCTATTCTATTGGACCTGTAAAATAGATTTGAGGTTATCTTTAACATTTTATGAGCTCTCCCAGTTTACGATTTACTTGTGATAAGAGTAGGCAAATCATATTCGTTCATTAAGGCTTCCATTGAGTCAATATTCACTGTGGCTTGGTGTATGCCTCAACATGGACCAGGTACTATATGAATGTATTTCAGAAAGTTCTTGGGAAAATGGAATTAGAAGAGAATTTCTTTTGGTGTAAACATTTTTGAAATCCATGTATAGTTTTTTCACAGCATACATTTTTCATGAACATTTTGTAGACCCCTGAGACACAGAGATTAGTATGGCTGGTTTTCCGTTGAGGGAGTTGCTGGTTTAGTGAAGAAGTGAATAGGCAAAGACAGTTACAATAGTAAATATAAGAGTCTGTCTAGGTTGGAACTTGGAAAAAGACTATGGACTGAGCCTGTCCTCCACTGGGACTTCCTGAAAGTAGACCATCTCAGCTGTGTTGCAGAAGCCAATTAGGGGTTAGATACATAAAGGGGAAGGTCATTCCAGGAGGATGAAGCAAATGGCTCAGTGCACAGGGGATAGAGACATCAAGGTCAGCCACAGGAGGCCTCATAGAACTCAATGTTGTAGAATAGAGAAAGTAAGGGTGGGGATGGCAAGAAAGGAGACTGAGGGTGGGAACACTTCTATCATGAAGTATCTTTTAACCCTTGCTAACAACTAGACTTTTCCCTGTTTACTGAGGATAAGTTGAAGGCTTTTAAGCAGGAATGGAAACAATAGATTTTGATTAATAAAGTGTGTTATGAACACAATATTGGGAACAGCATGGAAGACAATTGGACTGTAGGAGAGATACATAAAGAAGCAATTAATTGCACAGCATGATAAGGGCTGTGATAAAAGATAGGCTCCCTGCTCTGGGAAATCAGAAGAGGATTTGCTACCTTAAAAGTGGAGTCAGCCTGGGCAAAAGGTAGAGTTTAAAATGTTATCAGGGTGAAGAAACTGGAAAGTTTTCTAAATAGATGGAGGTGGACAGAGGCACAGAAGTGTGTAAGAACATGACTTTCCTCAAAGAACAGAAAGAAATATTTTTTTAATTGGAGTGTAAAATATTAGGGGTGAATTGATGAGAAGTGAAGCTGCAAAGGAAAACATCTTCCTTCATTCAAACCTTCCCTCTTTAAATATTGCTTTAGACCAGAATGACCATGTTATTCATTATCTATACAAGGTACATATAAAAAAAATTTATTATGGAGAATTTGGATATATAACATTAGACATAATAGTCTAATGACCACCATGAACCTATCACTCATATCCAATGACCAGTAACACAAGCCAACCCTACCCTATCCACAGTGCCATTCATTTCCTTTCATTTTGTTATTTTTGAAGTAAGTCCCAAATATCATATCATCGCCTCTGTAGTATTTCAGTATATATCTAAATTATAAGCTTTAAAAAGTATATAACTAGCTATGTCACATGAAACATTTAATAGACTCAGTTTCATCAAAGTGTGAATAGTATTGCAATTTCTAATTATTTCACATATGTCGTATCACTATAGAAATAAATATTCATGTATGTAGTTCAATTGATCAGAATCTAAGTAAAGAGCTGAAATTCTTTTGAAAATGAAAGAAAGCCCTATCAATAATTAATAGATGTACACTGAGCTTTTGCTCTAAACAGGCATCTAAGTTTATCTTCTTTGATTTATGCTTCTTCCACAATACTATTACAGATGTCTGGGCAGGTACTTGGCAGAATAAATGAAGCCTGTCTTACCCTGTTGGGTCTGCTTCTCTCCTGTTTTTTAGGTCTCTCTGCTCCCTGGTGTGCAAATGGACATACTCAGCAGAGAAAGGCTGGGATGACAGTTTCTGGAAGATGATTGGTTTGGAGGACTTTGTAGCAGACAATTACAGCAAAATAGGTAAGAGAAGAGAAAAATCTGGAGAATGATCATTTGTATGTACATATAAGGATACTGGAGAGTTTTGTTTGTTTTTGCTCCCCCCCCCCCCAATGGAATCCAGAAGCTCTGCCTCAGTTCCCAGGAGCAGTGAGTCAGTTACACTGGGTGGACCAAGAATGATACGAACTTGGTGGGGATATGTGCTGTGAGGACCTGCTCTGAAGTACAGAATGGAAATTGGGGTAGACTGGGGAAGTTAATTGCATGGAGCAGCCAGGCACAAAGTCATCATTAGCTGTATGTGCATCATTTCCAGTTAGCACCGGGGAAATAGTTTTGTGAATTAAGATCAAAGAACAAGGCAAGGCTATGAACAGGAAAAAATATAAGTGAAAAGATCAAAATCAGAATATGGGAACAAGACAGAAAATGAAACGTGAGGTGATGATTCCTAAGGCCTTCAAGGTCCCAGACTTCCAGTTTCACGTGACATTGCCTGGATGTTTAAGGCACAGTGACTAGTAGGGTTTTTCTTGTCAAAAGAATTCAGGTTCTAGGTAGATACAATGACAGCTGACCTTTTAAAGTTTAAGGTTTACAAGGTCATTGCAGAGGAAGATGCTTAATTTCCTGTAGTTACTACTTATAATTCTAGTGAGCTATCATCAGGTAAGCGGTTACACCTATTCAGTAGAAATGCTTCTGTATTTTTTCAGTATGCACGCTAGGATATGATAATGATAAGATCAAAAAGTACAATGGATTAAAAAAAGGTAGAAGATTATTCCCCTTTTATGAATTAGAACAGAGGTGAATGCCTATTAGCGCAGCTCTGCCATTCTCACAACATAACTTCTGACTTCGGGTCCACAAGGACTGCTTCAGTTCTCATCAGTTCCCAGCCAGGGAGAGGGAGGATCAATAGGACCAGAGAAATATACACTTTGTTTTAGAGACAGCACAACATGGAAATGGGCAACATCATCTGACCATATCCTATTTGCCAGCAGTTGTTTATAATGCCCTCCAGGACTATAAGTGTTTCTGGGAAAATGTAGTCATTAACTGGGTTAGCTATGTGTCTGTGGTAGGGACTAGCTAAAACTTGAATATTATGCTTTTAGATATTAGTGAACAGCTGGGAGTGCCTGCTACAACTTTGACCACTCATGCTCACTGAGTCCACAGAGTAGCTTATTTTGGTTCAACTTGTCTTTCTCTGGTGGAATCCTCATGACTTCTCTCTTAACATCCAAGAGTATGAGGAAGAAACATGTAGGATCCACGTGGCAGCTACAATCTCTTCAACTACAAAAAGCTAAATCTAAAGAAAAGAACCGCAGTGGGGAATATGCAGAAAAAGCCTGCTGGAATGTCTTTGGCTTAATTGAAACCATCTCAGGGTCTGAGGTGATAGAGAAGGGGTAGGGAGCTTGGAACCAAGGGAAAAGAACAAGAAGAAGAGCATCTACCATTAGTCATCAAGTACATTCCAGGTTCTTTGCTGGGTAATTTATGTACATCATCTTATTTGGCCTTCACAAGCCTACCTGTTTTACTATTTCCATTTTACAGATAGGAAAAATGAGTTTTAGTTTCATGCCCACTATTCTTTTAAAGATTTATTTTTTATTTACTTGAAAGGCAGAATTACAGAGAAAGGAGAAGAGACAGAGAGAGATCTTCCGTCTGCTGGTTCACTCCCCAAATGGCCACAATAGCTGGGGCCGGACCAGGCCAAAGCCAGCAGCCTGGAGCTTCTTCTAGGTCTCTCATGTCGAGGCAGGGACCCAAGTATTTGGGCCTTCTTCCAGTGCTTTTCCAGGTGCATTAATGGTGAGCTGTATCAGAAGTGGAATAACTGGGTCTCAAACCGGTGCCCGTATGAGATGCTGGCATACAGGAGGAGACTTTACACACAATGCCACTGGCTTCCTCATGTCCACTATTAAGATGTAAAGTCTGACTCCATATTTTTCTACCAGTAGGTGCTGATTCCTTGGGATATATAGTTGTCCTTCGATAACTATTGAGAACTTGTTCCAGGTTTCTCCTTAGATACCAAATCTGAGGATGAGCAACTCCCTTATATAAAATGGCAGATTGCCTGTACACATCCTCTTATATAATTTAGGTCATCTTTAGATTACTTATAATACTTAGTGCAATATAAATGCTATGTTATACTGTATCACTTATGGAATAATGACAAGAAAACAATTGAACATTATCAGTTCAGTACAGTTTTGCAACTCCCCCCAGATAATTTTAGTCCACAGTTGGTTGAATCCATGGATGTAGATCCCACCGATGCAGAGCTGACTGTACTAGACTAAGAAAGCAACACAGCTCTGTAGCTGGCCTCCAGCAGTATTAGACAGCAAGACAATATTAATACTCAAAGACAGCATGAGCTTGATTAGGACAAATGTCCACCCCTGGACAAAAGTAGGATTCTGGTGGGATCTCAGCCTGATTATTGGGTACAACTCCACAGAGCACCAATATAGTATTAATGCTTTAAGTTATGGGGTGATTGGTTTAAAAATTCTGATATTCAGATGCATAGAGCAAGCAGCTAGGAGAACAGCTGAGGAATAGGACCAAACTTTTACCTACCTAGGTAAAGCCTGAGGAAGTTGCCCTTATATGTCAGGACTCCTACCTCCCCAGCTAGGGGTGCGCGCTGTGCTTCGAGCGCAACAGGAGAACTGTGCTGCCAAAAACAAAAGCAGTATAAACCCAGAGCTCCTGAAAGAAAGCACCTATGTCTACCTTGCTCTGCAGTGTCTTGGCATGGACAGTGTCGATAAATACCTGTTGCCTGAATGTGTGAGGCATGACATGAGCACAAACACAGTGGTTTGAACAGACATAGGTTGATAAGAGTTAAGGAAGACTGGCAAAGGGATTTCCCAGGAGTCTTTATCTGCTCAGGCTTCCATAGCAAAATAACGTAGAGTGGGTGGTTCAAACAACAGAAATTTATTTCTTACAGTTCTGGAGGCTGGGAAGGCCAAGGTCAAAGTGCCAACACAGTAGATTTCATTCTGAGGTTTCTCCTCTTGGCTTGTATGTGGCTGCTGTTTTGCTACGTGCTCACATGACCTCTTCTTTGACTTGTATGTTGAGGAAAGTGAGAAGGAGCTCTCCATCACCTATGGACACTAATCCTGTCATACCAGAGCCCTACCCTTGTGATCTCTTTGAACCTAAGCTGCCACTTAGAGACTTCAGTCTCTAAATGCAGTCGTATTGGAGGTTAGAGCTTTTATGAATTTTGGGGGTCACAATTCAGCCCATAGTATCCAGGCACAGATGCATTGGTCATTGGAGCTAAACAAGGCCACTATGTTCCAAGTCCCCAGTCTGGTGTTCTGGAGGCTGTGCTGGAGCACCATGCTTTGAGGAAGAGCTATCAGAGCCCAGTGCCAGGGCGAGGGCTTTTTAGCCTATAATAGAGTGTGGACAAGTTGGATGTAACACACTGAACTGGGTGTAGGTGAGTTGTGGTTCTGGCACTAATGTGGATTCAGGTAAGTTTTGTGATATTTTTGTATCTTCATAGTCTTGCCTATGCAAGAGAATAAATTCTAGCAATTAAAATGAATGGTTTAGGCCGGCACCGCGGCTCACTGGGCTAATCCTCCGCCTTGCAGCGCCGGCACACCGGGTTCTAGTCCCGGTTGGGGCGCCGGATTCTGTCCCGGTTGGCCCTCTTCCAGGCCAACTCTCTGCTGTGGCCAGGAAGTGCAGTGGAGGATGGCCCAGGTGCTTGGGCCCTGCACCCCATGGGAGACCAGGATAAGTACCTGGCTCCTGCCATCGGATCAGCGCAGTGCGCTGGCCGCAGCGCGCCGGCCGCGGCCACCATTGGAGGGTGAACCAACGGCAAAAAAGAAGACCTTTCTCTCTGTCTCTCTCTCTCTCACTGTCCACTCTGCCTGTCAAAAAATAAAAAAATAAAAAAATTTTAAAAAACCTTAAAAAAATGAATGGTTTATCATCTCTCAGACAAGAGACATTGTATTACAATCATCATCTTTTAAATTTCCAAAACCGTGTCACAGGGTTATTTTTATTTGTCTGTTATACGGCTGATGACACCAAAGTTCAGAAGAAGGAAATGTGCCTCACTAGTGGTTGCAAAATTTTCAATTGACAGAAACAAAATACAAACCCATGTTTGAATGGCTCCAGGCCCTGCTCTAATTCCTTTGTATTCTGACTTCCACCCATGATGCATTGTGTATCCATAGTAGGCAGTGAATAAATACTGATACTCTCTTATTCTATATTCCAAGCACATTTCTGTGTGTGTTGTCATACCTGTTGCATGTAGTTCTCTTAAGTGCTGACAAAAGCACTAGTATCCAGATGAGAATCAGAGAGATGAGTAACCATGTGCAAAAACAATAATTGTTCTTTCCTGAATATTCCTGTGGTGTTTTGGATATAGCTTTGTTATAGTCCATATTGGTTACCTGTTCCTATGTCTTAATTCCACACTAGACTGTGAGCTCTTTGACATAGCATTTTCACTTATTTCCCTTTGTATTTCCAGTGCTAGCACAGCTCTTGCATATTTTTGTAGCTAAATTACTATTTAATAGTAAGCATATAAAGTAATGATTGATATGGCTAGTACTGGGAGATAATCTATTTTTTTGAAAGTCTGTTGTGATATTTACTCATTGAAGGAGCATCTCTGGTGACTGAGTCCAGCTTCAACTCTGATTTTCTGACGGTTTTAACAGTTTTCTGCTCTTTTTTCTTACCTCATCCAAGATACATATTAATTAGCATATTAGCTCTTCTAATAGAGAAATAGCTACAAGAAATACTCATTGAAAGTCCATAATGTTAATCTAGCAGAAAATTTCCAGGGTAACTTTATTCGATTTTGCCCGTTAAGTTAATGGATTTTTAATGGATGTCCTCAGTAGACATATCATTAACCAGAATATTGCTGTACAAGAATTAAAACTTAACCATTCATCAAAATTAATTGTATGATG